AATTGATTTTGAATAGTGATATGATGGGAAATGTGTGGTTGAAAAAGAAGAAAAAATTGTTGATGTGATGGAAAATATTATTTTATTGAAGAATGTGTGGTTGAAAATGAGAATTGATTTACTGTAGAAAATGAGAATCATTACCAAACAGGCCCTGAGTAATGCTATAGATTGCGAATTGCATATTGATAACGTTATCTAGTGCATGTTTGGCAAAATTTACAGATTAGTCCAACCATTATTTCTCAATTTGTTTTCATACTCATTTTTAACTATACATTTTTACAATACAATATTCTTCAAGTAAATATAAATTTATTATTATTTTTTTTAACCATACATTCTCTCAAAATTTACTATTCAAAAATTCACTCTTTTCAAAAAAATTCTATCGAACAAGGGGGCTTATTTTTACTAACTTATTATTCATGCATTTCGTACGTCTCGTAACGTAATTTTAATAAAAGTTTTGTCAAACATTTTCTTGAGAGTAATGTTATTCATCCTCATTGGGGTTTACAAACACGGTTTAGCTTACGATAATGTGGCATTAAATTAAATGTGAAATTAAATAAGTCATTTAATTTCACATTTTATTTAACCTATCATTTAGAACCATCTAAACTGTGTCTGTAACCCCACTGTGGATGAATAATATTACTCTTTTCTTAATTGACACTTAAATCATGGAACATCAACCGTCTTCTTCAACTACGATTTTGATAAATTTAAAAAAAAAATTAAATATTCTAATGAATTTCGTGGAGTTGAACAGATTTCCACAAAATTCATAAGAATCTCATTAAAAATTGTGAAATTTAAAATAGGGTTTGTTGCATGTAATTTTAGGTTTAAAATTTATCAAAATCTATATAAATTCACAAGTAATCAAGTACACCTAAATTTTAATGGATTCCATTAAAATCTCAATTAGGTACACCTAAATTTAGTAAAACTTTAAAATCCATCAAAATTTCAATCGAGGACACTCTGTAAATAAATAGCATTAATAAATATAATATGTTTTCAATGGTATTTAGCACGAGTAACCAGTGGTATTAAATGAAATAATCAAATAAATTTAAGGATTTAGGGTCCATTTAGTTGAACTCATTACGTTACAACTTATATTGACGTTAAGTTTTAAAATCCAAACAAAACTGGCATCAACATTGAAAATTTAAAGATTAAGAAATAAGCAATCGAATCTGTTGAATCAAGTTATTGAAAAATAATTAATAATATTTTATTATATTTAGGGTTTATTTGAGCCTCGTTATTTTGAAATAGTAAATTGATAAAGAATGTGCCGTTGAAAAATAAGGAAGAGTTACTGTTGTGATGAAAAATATTATTTTATTAAAGAATGTGTGAATGAAAAATGAGAATGAAAGTTTTACCGTGTAACAAACAGAAAAAAGGGTTCAGCATACCATTGTATGGGCATGGTCCTTTCCATTTACTATCTTATCTCAACTTGATTGATGAATGGACAGTCAATAGATCTGATTGATGAATGGACAGTCAATAGATCTAAAATCAAATCTATCACAATAGTCATATGACAACTGTTGACCGAGAAAGTCAGTCCATTGATGATTTGTAAATTTAATCAGTTAAATATTATTATTTTTTCTACTATTCGTCTTGTTCACACATTTTGTCGGCTCCATTAATAGTTGGAAAATGCTGGTTGTACATTCTTC